TTTTTTTCGCACAAAAAAACAATTAAATTAATACATGAATTAAATTGAATGGAAAATGAATGCAAAAATCTCATGTTTTTGATTTTTTATGAATAAAACAAAAACATCTTTTCATGAATTTTAATATATAGGAAGACATAAACTTTTATCTCAAATCAGATGTTATTTTACAATAGATTTTAATTTCCGTTACTTTTTATCGCAGGTTTTGGGCGAAAGGTATTACTGAGATGTTCAAGAAATCCATTCAATCATCCCATGCCTGATATGTCGGAGATGGACAGTCAGTCCCCTCGTATGGATCACTGGGAAGTCATATTTTTGTACTCAGTTTTCAGTTTTTCATTTAATATGTAGAAATGTCTATAAAAACTGATACTTTTCTCGTAAAATCTCCAAATTGATAGCATTTGCATTGTATTGAATCAAATATTTGTATAATATATCTGGACTATACATACATTTTAAATAGTTTTCTAATAACAAATGAATTAAATAACAGGAAATACTTTTGTATGTATTAAGATATCATTAAATAAAATGTGTTTTTTGTTTAATTCTGTGATTGTTATTCATTTTTGATACACTTATGATATAAATTATATAAAATGATGCTTGTACATTGGTTTATGCATAAATTTAATTAGTTAAGTTGTCATTTAGTAGTGACTGTAAATGATTTTAAATGATTTTACTTAGTCAATGAAAATTGCTGTTACATTTAAACCAAGTTCACTATTATACAACCAGGTCGACATTTTTGGCTATATTTACAATAACTGACAAACAAATTAAAAATTTTGTTTAAAAATATATTTGTCAAGGATTACATCAATAATTGAGTGATACTAACATTATTAGTTAATCAATCATTTCCTGGTATTTGTAAAATACTTTATTTAATCGTTTTAATATAAATAAATTCATGTGTGTATTAGATTAAATCAATATGTATTGCTTAACACTGATATTATTTACACTATGATTTGGGTTGTTAAAAAATATTAAAATATTGAATAAAAATAACAATTTATAAATAATTTAGACTATTCTTATTTATTTAATAAAGTTTAAAAATTATATCTATGTAATTTACACAACTTTAAAATGTCATAATATTCATTTAATTAGTTTCAAATTGTTATTTAATTTTTTGCTCAAAACATTTATTTGTTATCTGATATTATCAGAATTTGATAAAAATGTCATCATGATAGAATTAAATATAAATAAACCGTAAAACCAAAGCAAAGGTTTACTGTTAGTAATGTATTTTTCAATCAATTATAAATTGAGATTATTATTAGTATCCAATAAAACTCTAAATTTAAATCCAATTAAAACTTTTTATAAATAATACCTTAAAAAACAATTTCATTTAAAAAATGAATATTTAATAATTATAATAAATAGTGAAATATTCTTAATTCATAATTAATTAATAAATATAAAATCAAAATCAAAGTTAACATGACTTACAAAAGTCATGATATCTCAACGGTTCCCGAGTCCAGTGAATATACATGTGGTTTGGGTTCCTGGAGACCACAATGGCTACAAAAGTTTGCCTCAACCAAAATGTTCATGTTCATATTCGGCACCCTTGGTATCATACAGGGGGCGGCATTCACTTATATGATCGCCAGCATAACCACATTAGAGCGGAGGTATGCGTTTGGCAGTAAAGTTACCGGACTTATACTGACCGCCGACAACGTGGTGGAGCTCACGATGAGTCCACTGTTTGGCTATTTAGCTACCCGTGTGCACCGGCCCCGTATGAT